GAATAAAGATACGTTAATCTAATGGGATTTTAGAAATTTTTCCATGTCGTGCATTGCAGGGCTTTTTCCATGGCGGTGTATTGTTCTACCATGAGTACAGTCCTGTATTGGGAGAGTTCTCTTAATATGGTCTTATAATAGAGCTCAATTATTGTCAGTGACACGATGGGAAAACATTGAAGGAGCTAATAAAAGGCCCTCAAAAAGAGACGCTGGTTACCTATAGGACGAGTGCTACTCTGAGACAACCAACGCAAAGAGATGGAGGAGAGTGGTCTCTACAATAAATGTATAATACCGTATAGAAGTGAATGTGTGTTAATTGTGTATGTGTAATGAGCGACTTCCGCGACACATTGTGTAGAGGGTACTCTCTTCTTTATTCACATTCGGGCACACCACAGGCCAACCTTATCCTCTTTCTTTTCCGAGTACTTCACGTAGATATTAGCATCCCTTCAGGATACACGTGGTCGATCCCACAGCGTGGTTCCGTCCACCCACTCCTGGCCTTGCCCCTGGTTGATGGCGTGCCGGCGAGGGTGGTGGGACTTCGCAAGAGATCTGCTATATGGCTGAACGACGGAGAGAGATGATGGCGAGCAGCGACGCAGTCCGGACCCAAGGCTCGCCACACTGACTACAAGTCCTCCTCCGCCTCCGCTTATATTGCCGCAGCCACGGCTAGACTCCGCCTCCGGCCACGCCCTCTCGTGGAAACTTCTAGCCGGTTCCGGGAGTATCTCAGCCAGCCCCGCCCTTTATTTTTTGCCCAGATACCTCTCCCTTTGGGATTGGATGTTTATAGTGGTGCCTGTACCCGTGCTTCCATTTTCCAACCTGTAGATGTCACTATGTCATTACATATGGATAAAAGTCTTTGAATGAAAATGCTTAATTTGACTGGTAATCTTTAACGAATATCGTCTAGGCCAGATTGTCCATAACAGGTCCAACAACTAAGTACATACATTGCACTTATTTGTTAAACAGATAAAATACTCTTTGGTTCTTTCAGTAAAGTCACGTAGAAAATAAAATTAAAATAGAATACGACTTTTCGATTGCAACACAAGCAACCATCATCAGGTAAGAATGAATGAGAAAAAACAAACATAGTAAACTTATAAATATAATGCAATACAACACAGAGAGTCGGCGAACACAACAGTCAACATCCCACCTGGTTGAATACGTTCTTCCAAAGAATGACAAACAGAAAGACAGCACCACTGTGTCGAGGCTTTAAAATAGAGAGAGGGGGGGAGGGGTTGGGGCAGAGAGAGAGGGGGGGTATTGGGATAGAGGACAATGAGAGAGTTGTGTGGAATTCTGGACCATAGTGGCCGGAGGAGAGACAGTGGCCTATAAAACAAACCAGCACGGTAATATTAGAGCAAGAAAATCGGAAGTTTGAGAAAGCAAATATAGTAAAATCAGGAAATGTAATGCAATGCAACACAAAGAGTCGGTTAACACACAATTAACGCATAGCCTGGTTGATTACGTTCTTCCAAATATTGTTAAATTAGATAAAATAGACAAATAATTATTGTGAGAAATGTGTAAAATGTAAGGGCATCACCTGGTAGTATACTATCATCTGTTTTTATAAAATAACAGTACGCTTTAAGCATAATGCAGGCCTTTTACTTAACTTTCTTAGATTATATTGCGTTCTACTACAAGTCCTTTAGTGTTTATACAATTGTATTATTAGATTAAAAGCTTATATACTTGGAGCTAAAGCAAAACAAACTGTGCATGGCCTTGGTTCCCGAAAGGACAATAAACTAAAGATGATCCTTTTGGGCCACAGCAACCAAAGGTGCTTTTATTATTTTCTGCAGAGAATTAGCATCTGATATGTGCTTCAAATTTGTATGATTGAATGTTGACCTTATGCTCTTCTCTATTGCAATGCAGATATGTTTTTCAACAAGCTTCAATATTATGATAATGGGTTTTTCCACTTTTTTCTCACAACAAAACTGAAACCTTTTTACAAGAAATCATGTCTGCATTACAAAAAACATACTCTGGTAATATATGCATTGTCCTTGAAACTGATTGGTCCACACCAGAGAAAGCCTCTCACACGGCGTTAGACCAGAGGACGCCAAAAGGCGTACAGCTCAAAGACAATGCACTATCAGAGTAATGAGAGCTCGGGGTGAGCATCTACATCATGGGACCTCCTTTTCCAGTACCAAAATATAATAATAAGGTTTTCCCCTTTATACTGGCAACAAAACTGATACCTTATTATTTTGAGTAATGGTCTATAATGCACAAATGTAGTCTTTAAGGAATCGTGTTATTTCATATATATTGATATATAAATTCAGTAGTTGGACTGCCCTCCATCTCTATACACCCTTATGTGTGTGCAACCATATATATGCATTGGTATAATGATGTTTGACTGAGCACTAATTTAATATGTATTTTGAAGCAAAAATAAGCTCCGTTATAGCGTCAGGATGCAAATATTAGTATCACCATACAGCAAATTATATGTTTTACTTTTGACAGACATATACATCCGATACTGTATACACGTTGTATAAGCTGCTTTGTCATGATGCATCACTCAGCATCACAGTAGAAATGCTCTGTTTCTGTCTCTGTGAAATTCACATGCAAAGATTCCCTGTTTAGGCTGTCGGTGGCGTCTATTAGTAAGCACACCTTGATACATGATCACCTTGTTTCTCCAAAGCTGTTGTTCACATACCACGAGAGCCTAATGTTAATAGCTTCAATCGGTGGTTTGCCGACGTCATCTATATTAAATAAATTACCAATTGCTAGCGACGTTGCATGGCTGGGTGATAAAGGGGTAAAGGTGCAGCCCTGCGATTACCTGCTCACGCCACCGCTGACTGAAGGGCCTCCACGACAGAGAGCTCTTCCATGCTGGCCAAACATCTTGTAAATTGTGACAGTACCCACACTTTACCCCACTACTTGCAACCTGCCGATTGAATAACTGCGAAGTGTAGTCCCAGGAATGAGATTCAATGTTCCTGGATAATGGAAAATAATGTTCGCTGCGCTTCTTTCTTGGTTCTGCTCTGTCCTCCATTATGCCCCACTCCATACCCAGAACAGTAATATATTTTTCTAAATTATATTTCTTCATGTGTAGCACAACCAATTCAAATTACCACACACGAGAGCTTGTGAAAGGCGGTCGAGTCAGCTCATGAGAGATTTGAGCCACGCTGATGACCAAGTGTGCATAATGATGTCGGGATGCAATGTTTTCCCCTACTGCGTCGTCTTTTGGGAGGGGACGGGGAACCTGCTGTCCAACCCTCGGTGCATGTGCGGATGATAAAGGTCAAGCAGCATTTGAGACTCTTCCTCTGCAATGGTAAGCCGGCATTCACTGCGACCACGGCCAAGTCGGACCACGCATAACAAAGCGAACACATTCATAGGCGTGTAAATAAACAAATCCTGTTTTTTGTTTGTTTTACAAACAAAAAATGGTCGTTACCTATTGTTGTGAACCTGCAGAGCCGTAGCTCTTGAGAATTGTTTCAGAACGAACGTGTCACATCCCCCAATTCACTGCTTCGGCACCGCCCATACCCAGGAGCCACTAGACACGCCGCTAACTTGCTTCGTGTCCACTAATTCGGCTTCACATTGGGGTCCCCCCCCCCACCAAGAAGGCAGGGTCGCCCGGGGCAGTCACCACGCCTGCGCCGTCCCTGCCATGTCACGTGTGCATCCAGTGGCAGCTCGTGACATTTCCACGAGGTGGGGCTGTTGTGAGTGACCTCTGAAAATATGGTGTTATAATTAAGAAAAAAAACCTCGTCATGTTAATTATTGGCGTTCCCGTGAAAGTGATATAACTGTCTTATCTACCAACCGTAGACATTTATTAACAACTAGCTTGTTTGCCCGTCCTAGGGCGGAAGCTGTAATATTTACGAGAAAATTGAGCAGAGTATAATTGTATCTCGTGTAAATTTCATGGCAGTGAATCTTGCACGAAAGTATGTCATCAAACACTTCACTGCATTTCACTGTAGCACTGTATTAATGGCAGTGAATCTGGTACAAAACTACGTCATAAAACACCTCACTTCATGTCACTGTAGCACTGTATATAACTGACCTTCAATTTGTTCAAATTCACTGCTCTGATGCTTTATTCTCTTCTGCTTTTGGTCGCTGGGGCTGAAATAAATTGGAATTCGATATATCTGGAAAATCACCGATAAATATATATTTTACCATCATATAGAAGCATAAATTAGACTTACCTTTTGTCTCAAGTGCTGAAGAAATAAATAAAGACACCAAATCCACTTTGCTGCTGCGTATAATTATTTATTAGAGTCACTTTCAATAAAGAAACGTTAAACTTAAAGCAAATTTGCAAAAAAAATTGTGTTTCCGCTCGACCTTCTTCTGCGCGAGTGTAAAAATCCACCCGCTCATGAATATTAACGACAGGGGTGTGGCATGTGGAGTGACGTCACACGCGTTACACACAGACATTCTTGGCTCATTATAGTAGTAATACGAAATAAAACGACAAAGCACTCAAATGCTGTCCCCATGACCCCCAAGTTTGCACTACACAACCCCTTTGACACTGCCAAAAGCCGTGACCTGCTATATTTGCAGCCTAGCGTTGTGACATCGTCTTTTTCACCGCCCTGAATTGGTCTTAAACGGCGTGGCTATAATTCGAAGCTAATCGCAATGAGTGAAAGGAAATATCTCACTCGGACGCCTTCACAGCTTCCCCAAGACACAAATCAGATCCGTGGCGTTGCAGCGGTTTCTAACGTGAACTTCAAATGTTATCTTCATGAGGCAATTCACGTTGAAAGAATCATTGTTTGGGTTTTTTTTTAAAACACAACAACACAATTTATAGAAAAAAAAATTTACTCGAAAAATCATTTCTCATCTCCAGGTGCTTGGTGGGGCGGCGGCACAAACGCCCCTAGTGGACCAACCGAGCCTGTGTACATCCATCGCCGGTTGCACCAGTGGAGCGGTGAGCGCGCACCACACTTTGAAGTATGAACCCAGCCGCCTGACCTTGATTCCTGGCCGCAGCTAACATCAGTGGTGATTATCTGAACTGGGCCTCCCATAGCTTGATTTAGCCTTAAATTAGTACCTCGTGCAATGTGTGAACATTGGCATTTTAGGGGGGGGGTCAATAGCTGCCATGTTGTGCTAGCTGCACCACTCCCTTGGGAAACCATCCTGGCCTGCAAATGCGTTCGCTTGCAGCACGTTTGTTTCAACGACCCGGTGTAGGCTTTGTCTACGTGGATGGTGTGAACACTGCAGATGTGCCTTAGTGTGCTTCCATCGTGATTTGAATAAGCGTTGAACTTCTTTTGCACCGTAAGTAGCCAGCCATGCTAATCAGAAGCCTGTGAGTGTGTGTCTCGTGGCTTTGCATGTACCTTAATGGCTATAAGATGGGGTGTGTGGGTGATTAAATCCAAATTAAGCCAATTGTTGTTTTACATTTCCCATAGATCTGGAAACGAAGGGATACTAGAACAAGGTTGGGGGGCAGCTGCTTTGCTCAATGGTCACCATCTGGTACTCAATTCAATACGTTTCACATTGCCTAAATGTCTTCATATTTATTCAAGTGTACTATTTACTTAAATTGAAATTCAAAATAGATAAGCAGACAATGTATCCTTTCCACAGAAGTTTTTTCACACGCACAAAAAAACCCACTGACCGCACGGTCTTCTACAAGTTCATAAGGTCAGCAGCATTGATTCAGGACAAGCAAACTGTACTGGGTTCGACGTAATATTTCATAATCAGAGTCAGGCTTGCTTGAATGAATGATGGTGAATTGCCAGATGTTACAGGTGGAGGATACTCAGGGCAGATGTGATGAGCACAGCTCTCCCATTGGAGGACGAGCCTCTGACCCCATGACGCGCTGGAGGAAAGGGCTCTACGGGGGACGTGGTTGGAGGGGAAAGAAAAGCGCCGGAGTCGCGAGCGCATAGAGATGGAGATGGCTGTCTAAGGGAAGCTGGGGAAGATAAATAAAGATATTTAACACGTAGGCTTTCGCGACCAATAGCATCCATAATACAGTTTTTTTGGGGGGTTAGATCGCGTAAATATATAAATCTGTCTGTCGCCTGATTAAGCTAGTTGTAGTTACTGGTGAAACATCGTACTCAGATTGTAAATATTGTGGATTTGCTCTCTAAAACACCGGTGTGCTGTACTAGTAACGAATTGGCATTTTTTGTTTATGTGACAAACCTTACTAATTGGCTGTGTCGGGTGGTGGCGGGTTTAACGACACATATTTACACGATCTATCCCAAAAAAAACTGTTATGGGTAAATAAAGAGGGTTGATACCTGTCTCCCTCGTGGATTTCATTACCCAAGTTTGTCACTAAGTTATATACTACATACATATTATACAATCGTAAAAGTGTATTTGGTTTGAGATGCACGAAACATTAAAAGTGCCTAAGATACGTTTGACATTCAATCAGCAAAGGCCCCAATAATTATACTTGCCATATATTTAGAATCTGCAGGAAGTATATATTAAGTTGTCGCATCTAATTCCACAAGTCTCCTTAATTGCAAATAGCCATTCCCAGCAAATACTAAATTGTATACGTTATTAAGGATGTTGACTTCGCACAATAGCCTACATGGTTCAAGAATAATGAATCAGCAGCAAAGGAGCATGTTTTCTCCTGCCTGTACTATGTTGTCGCGATCGCCGACAGGAGCAAGATTCCTTGGATGAATTCCCCCATTGGGTGCAATTGATGCTCATTTATTTCAGAAGAATAAAGGTGTCTGCTGTGACAAATTTCCAAGGCTGATGATTGTGCTTGTGGAATAATTCATTGAGCGAGCCAATAAAGTAACTGACGGTGGCAGTTGAATTCACTTAAACATATACACTGTATATATATACAGTGTATATGTCTAGAAATTTCACAATAAAGAGCCAATGCCACTTGGGTTTGCACTTTGTAGGTTTGCGGCATTTGTGGGGTTGCCATTTGGCTATTTATCGGTCGAAATATATTCGCCTTAATGTCCTCTTGCTTACACTTTCGCTGTGTCCCCCTCCTCACCCCTTCACCTCCATTGATATTTTTAGTGAGAAATGTATATTCTTACAGAGGTTGTATCCCCACTAATGGGTGCAGCCTTGGTGTAATGGTTAGCATGCTGAACTTGCAACCCAACAGCTGCTGGTTCTTTCTCTGTCTCAGCAGTGGAAGCAATGGGCATGTTTCTTAAATCCCGCCGCCTCTGTTCATTCGACCTGTATGTATGCCACAGTTAGGCGATAGGCAGGTTACGTGTAGTAGGGTGAAGTAAAACATGGTTACTCCAACCTTTTACAACACATCTGGCCAGCGAGGAAGATTAGGCCAACAGTCTTAAAGAGGGGTTCTCCGGAGTTCCCTCTTGTGAAGCCCCTTCCACCAGCAGTTGCTTGAGTAAGAAAAGTCACTGCTGCACTTTAACCTTTTGCCCCCAACCTTGCCACTCTTGACAACTCAAACTCTCTCAATGTTAGCATTGCCTAACAAAGAAGTACTTAACTTGGCAATGTGTAAATCATAATAATGATAATATATTTTGTCATCTCTCTGTTGGATAAACGATTCTGAATACAGGGTAATGGGGTTATTTGACCATTTTTCACCACACTGATAATTGCAGCTTGGTGAAAAAGGATGTTTAGGATCCATTTATATGACTTGTCACTGATATCAGGACCGGGAATTTAATTCGGGTAACGCTGTACGTTAACTACTGCACTACTTTTTACCAAGTGTTATACGACGCATAGGAACTATAAAATATATATTTGTCTGCAAAATAGAAATATAATTAACAGTTATAGTTATTACATTTCAATATATAGCCTAGTTTACAATGCTTTTACCATTACATTCATGTTCTTTTAATATATCTAGCTGCAGGAGTTCGTACATCTTTAAATTAAATGTTAACATTATGTTTAATTTAAATTTACTATAATTGCTGCTTAAACGTTTCATTTGTTTTGTGTCGTACGGGGACTAGCATCTCGCCTATTAGAGATTACAGAAGCCGTTTTTGTTCCCATCTGTGTTGGATTATCTACTTTAGTATTTTTGGCCCAAAATGGCGAAATAAATCTTAGGAAGTTAGCATCATCTACAAAAGCAAGCCTTTAAAAGAATGGGCTGACACAGCTGCCATTTAGTGTGTGCTAACCAGAGCCTTGGGAATGAAGATAAATCTCCTGGAACTGGTCGTTGCCTTGGGTCTAATGCTGTTGTTGTAGCATTAGGACATTGTGATGGATTCTACAGCGTTTTGACAAAAGGATGACACATCCTTATCGTTTTCATTATTTTCAATCGTATGTATGTGGAGACGAGAAATACTATGAGGGCTGGTTGCCGTTTGTTAATGCACGCTCTCACACTGCATCCTACACGCACACCAGTGTAGGTGTACTCTATTCTCCGTCCTTCACTTGGACCTGGGACAACTATATACGTCGGGACTACTTCGGCTATCCCTAGGCTCTCTCACCCGTCTGCCTGGGGCGAGGGATCAGCCAACACTGCCCCGCGGTAAGGAGAGACCTTGATTTGAAGCTTTCGTGACTGCAGGAGTCCATACTCTTTGGTTCTTTTGGTAAAGTCACGTAGGTATAAAATGAAAGAAAAATAAATCACAACGTTTTGGGTGCAACACAAGCGTCCGTCATCAGGTGGGAAAGCATGGTCTGCTGCTGAGGCAGACTGTTTTTAAATGTTTGAAATGGGTGTAGCCCAAGGGTCATAAAGACGTGGCCGGGGCTAGTGATGTTAATGTGAGAAATTAGCATGTAACTGTAGCAAAGGAGGGTGAGCATGAGAGATCTAAGAGAGAGGCATAGAGACACACAGAGAGTCAGAAATAAGAGCTGGCATACGCAAGTAGGATGGAAACATCACAGTCAGTTAAGACTTTACCTCTAATGTCTCACATTAGCATCATGCTAATATCTCACATTAACATAGCCACTTCCGTGCCCTCGTCTAGGAGGCCACTTTCCTATTTTACAGTTACATGCTAATTTCTCACATTAACATCACTAGCCCCGGCCACTTCTTTATGATCCTTTGGCTACACCCATTTCAAGCAGCAGACTATGCTTTCCCACCTGATGACGGGTGCTTTGTTGCACCCAAAACGTCGTGATTTATTTTTATTTTATACCTACGTGACTTTACCGAAAGAACCAAAGAGAGGGAGAGAAGACCTCTTCCAGCCGATCCTAACCCTGGCTCCCCACGACGACCCCGTATGCGTCACGTGGTCTCCCTTAAGAACCCTCTGGGCAGCTCCTCCCCCCAGCTCGGCCCCGCCCACTTTCCAGAAAGTGCTTTCCGAAAGTCTCCCTACGTAACCCGTGACGTTACGTCATCCTTGGCCTCGCATAACTCTCCACCAACTTGCACTTCCTTACGCTCATCCCTCATTGGCTACTCACAGTAATCCTCTCCATATGTACCAATATATTTTTTTAAATTTCACTTAAGATACAAGAATGCAAACATGAATATACAATCTATTAATGGTAAAATACAGGTAGTGTCAATATTGCATGCAAATCATTCATGTGTGTTTTAAAGGCTGAGGCAATTATAATGAATTAATTAACATGGAAACCTGACATTTTCTTTATAGCATATGGCCAAAAAGACAATCACAAGAATAGTAGATAGCTTCATGCTCGTAATATGAGCTTTTATTCGAAAAACTAGCGAATTGTTACATTTTCTACTCTGTTCGTCAGTAAAAAAAACAGCAATGTAAATTATAATATAAATTATAATCATTACAGTTGATTTATATATTACTACCGTGAACTGTTGGAGTATTCCCTACATCATAACAAATCTCAGTTTTCATAATTGGTGCTGTCTAACAATCCCTGCAGGTGATCTGTTAGTTACACATGTGGGAAAAAGCTCGCCATCAGTCG